TTGTGAATGTCAAGAGAGGTGTTGACATCTACCGAACAGCCCCCCGTGTGGATGGGGGGGGGAAAAAACGGGAAATTTGAGACCAACAGTTCTTAAAGTCCCCAAGGTTGAGAAACACTGGCATAGACATTTTCCAGGATGATCTCTCCTCAACCTGGCCTTTTAGTGAAATCTAGTGAAAAGTTTATTCCTGGTGCTTAAAGGGCAGAATACAAAAGTTACTGCACCTTTCTTAAGCCATACATTTTTATGCTAAGAAAAATCAGAGAGACCTGTTAATTACTACTGCATTCACATTTCTTCTGGTCTCTAAACGAACCCACGTTCTGGGGTTCATGCAGGACATTTCACCCTAACCTAAGCAAAGGGCTGGGTTTGTGTTACGCCGAGCTGCACAGCCACCCACAAAAGATTAATATTAGCTGTGGAGTCCATGAGGTTCTCTGAGCTTGGTTGTTTTCTTGCAGACATTTTGTTACCTGGCTAGGTAACATCTTCAGTGCTGATGTTCAGATGTTCAGCACTGAAGATGTTACCTAGTCGGGTAATGAAACGTCTGCAAGAAAACAACCAAGCTCAGAGAACCCCAAGGACTCCACAGTTCAACCCTGAGCTACACATATTCTCTTCTAATATTAGCTGAGTTTAGGATATTGGGGAAGGGCAGTGGCTAGGTCTTTTCCTGCCCTGATTAAGCCTATAAGCCATAACAGCGATCAGGTTATGCAACGGAACAACATTATTGGGGGGGAAATAAGATATCTCTTCTTCTTTGTCTTCCTGTTGTCTTCAAGTCAAAGGCTCTAAGGGAGAGATGGCTGTTGGAGGGAGCTCCTTCATCCACAGCTGAAGAGGGTGAAGCCACAAAGAAGCTGATGGAGGAGGACAATTTGAAGGCCAAGGAACTGGAAGAGAACATTCAAAGGTACTGATGATGGCAACCTTCTCCAACCACGTATTTGGACTATGCTTCCCAGAAGCTCTAAGCCTAGCTGAAGGTTGCCAGCAGTCCCCACATGCCAGGAGGATGGCAGGTTGGGGGAAAATGGTGCACGTTAGGTTGACACCTAGCAGGGAAAGCTGCTGAAAACCTTTCCAAGGTTTTCCATTAATTGCCATTTAGGATATCAGTGTTACAAGCATAAAATGTGACCAGGATGGAACTGGAGGAACCATGGATATTCTTGGATTAACCTATTAACTGCCTGCTTGGAGTGGGCAACCTGCAGCCTACATCAGTGTTTCTCAAGCTTGGCAACTTTAAGACCCATGGACGTCAACTCCCAGAATTCCCCAGACAGCATGGGAGTTGACGTCCACGGGTCTTAAAGTTGCCAAGCTTGAGAAACACTGGTTTAGACTGAATGGGACAGAGGGGTGTCTGCAGGAAGGGAGGTCAAAAAAGTCATGTTGATTGCAGGGTTATGGCTGCCATCTTGACTTTTTTTTCTTTTATTGTAATCTTATAAATCTTGATACATTGTATTATTTCAATGCAGATTTCAATGCAGTAGTGTTTATATGATATGATTAAAATTATTAACATTCTACTATTTAAAAAGCTTAACACGTTGAAGGTAAAAAGAGAAAAGTAAAACTTCTACCAATATTAATTGCCATTTAGGATATCAGTGTTACAAGCATAAGATTATTAAACTTTTTATCCAAAGTCGAATATAAGATAAAAAAAGAACCACTGTAATTCATATCAAAGTATTAGTGATATAATAATAGTTTCAATCTTAAACTAATTACTTAATATTAAGATCTCCGCTGTATTGTTACTTAATGTGTGTGCATGTGTGTGTATGCATGTATGTATGTATATGTATATATATTGATATATTCATATATTCATAAAAGGAAATTAAAGATAGATGAAGCAAATTTAACAAAAGTTAAAGTACCTAAAAAGTAGAAAATAAAAAATGAATTAATCATAATTTTTAAAAAAACTATTAATTTCTGTCTCCCCCTTTTATACATTTGCTAATTTGCGATATTTGTAAGTATTCAGGCCCCATTAAAAGCCAGACTGCAGGTGATTATATTTACCATGCCAACATCATGGCGTGGTGTTGACACCAAAGTCAACACCATCTTGATTTTTTTGACCTCCCTGCAGACAAACCCGAGTTGGAAAGTAATCAGGAGCACTGTGCTACATTAAATATCACTAACTCAAAATCCATCAATGGGTGATGTTGCCATTTCATCCCATTCAGATGAGGGCTATACTCCAGCTGAAAGTAGTATATGGTTTTATCACCTTCTAAATAAGGTTTTAGGAAAAGCAGGAATAAAGATTGCTCAGAAGGTGTTGAAAGAGTCCATGATAGGCTAACATTACTAAGGATGCTTCCTCCCCTTTTTTTATTGATAACATTTCTAACTCACTGTTTATCTTTAAGAGTAACCACAAAGCAGTGTTTTTTTTATGTTGCACATTATATTCCTAACAACTCTGCAAGATAAGTAAAAGTGAGCTTTCAACACCTATTCCATCCAGGAGCCTCTGCAGGAGGCAAGTCAAAAAAGTTAAGATTGGAGATATGACTGTGTGATTCAGTCTGCACCCCTCTTTAATGTGTGATGCACATCAAAGGGGACGGGTTCCAATTCTGCATCAGCAGTCACCATCTTTTTTGATTCCCTATAGTGGCCTCTGGGTCTACGGTCACACTAGCAGGTTTGAATATTGGTCAACTTGGTCCAAGTCCCATTAGCTGCTCTACTGAATTGCTTTTCTACTACTGCTCTCAAGTATCAGGGACCTGAGGGACTGAAGAGTGTGATGTGGTTTCATCCAGTTGTTATTTACACAAAACCTGTGTAACCAACTTGTGAAGTTGGTTGGGTGAAGGATGAGGGACTGGTTCAAAATACCCCAGTAAACTTTCTTATCTGGTTATGGATGTGGATCTTGAACCTAGTCTCCTAATCCATTCCAGGTAGGTAGTAGCACCTAGTTCATCTTGGATGATTTCAGAAAGCCTGATAAGTACTAGGATGGGAGATAACCAGAAAGCCCCAAAGGTCACTTAGACTTGGTTCAAGGGAGACTTTATCTGACCTTGACTGATTCTGAAAAAACTAAGAGTTGGTTAGTACTTGGCAAACCACTTCCGTATTCTTGCCAAGAAAAATACTTGGAAATGTCCACAAAATCACTAGGAATTAAGCTGGGCTTGAAGAAAACTTGAAGGAACCCTTTAACTTTCTAGGCGAGATTTCCCTACCCTGTTTCCTCCAGTTGCAGTGAACTTCAACTCCCAGAATTCCCTATCCAGCTAAGTCAATTAATCTAGATGGCATCATATTAGAAAACACCAGAACAGAAAGAGTAAGTTATGTTGATTACAATACCTTTTGCCTCTTTAGGCAAAAGATATTCTTAAAAGCACTCAGCACAGGCATTTAAATGCCTACCCTGCCCTGTCAAAATCCCATCTTGTAATGCTGAGCAGCAGAATCAGAAGAAAAGGAGGTTAATTCAGATTTGCTTAGATGCAAATACCACCTTCTGCTCCATCTTTCCCCAATCTGGTGCCCTTCAGATATGCTGGAATGCATTTCCCAGAATTATTCTACCTGGAGGACTCTCTTTCATCAGAACTTGCTGTTCAACAGTGAGGATGAGGATGGAAGGCTTAGGGTTGACATGCATAACTCTTGCACTTGTTTAGATACTTATCAGCTTTACTAGGTAGACCAGACAGGAAACACGACCAGATGAGCTAATTCTACTTTATTGTAAAGCTATATTAACAGAACCTTGCAAATCTGAAAGTACTTTTCTCCCCCGTCCCCTTTACAGCCCAAAAACTAGGGAGGGTCCCTTCTGAACCTCTTTCCCCACCCACATTCCTGCTGCAGGCTCAGCTGCCTTTTATCTGACCGTTCCCTTGGCGGCTTCTCTTTGCCTTGTCTCCCAAGGTCATTCCCACATACCATTACATCACCCTGCTTGAGCAGAATGCGCTTCAGTCTATAGAATTGCTGATTTCTGGACAAAAGCGCGCTCCAGACTACATGGATAGCAATGGGAGAAATAAATATATGTTTCAGCTATCTGGATTTTGCTTAAATATAAAGAAAATCTTTGTACAACAGTGGAATAGTCTACTTATTCTGAGTGGGCTGCCTGTCTCTGGAGGTTTTGAAGAAGAGGCTGGATCTCTTGTGGGGGGTTTAATTGGTTTTCTTGCACACTGCAGAGGGTTGGACTGGATGATCCTCGCGTTCCCACCCAACTCCAGAATTCTTTGATTCTGCAAGTTTAACTTAGCAGCATATTGATACAATGAGATGAGCCAAAAGTAGAAAACTGGTTGGAGCAGTAACTTTGGTAAGACTGGGCGGGGAGCCTCCGGTCGCGGGGGCTGCTGACGGCCCATGAGATTTTCCTGTCTAGCCCACCAGTCTTCTCTTCCCGTATCCTGCTCCCTCTCCTTGACCCCACCACTTCCATGGCGTCTCTCCCTAATTGCTCAGCTGTTTCCTGCTGCTTCTCTAGGCAGCGCATAGCCAGGATGGGGGGGGGCGGGTGGTGGTGGGGATAGGGACTGTTCAGAGGGAAGTGAATCACCAAGATGATGAAACGCGTTTAGAGAAAGTTGAGAGGCCATCCCAGAATTAATTGGAGTACTTTAATACATGATGGGAATATATTCCTGTATAGGTATTATTATACTTAATTATTATGCAGTATATCCCACCAAGTCTTGGGGAAGTAGCTTCAATCGTAAACTATTTGGCTGGTATATTCTCCAGCTGCAAAAATGAATGGATGTTCTGTATCGGGATTCTAATCCTGAACTGTGTCCGTTGTATTTATACTGAATCTTTCTCCAGCTAAAATAAAACAAGATAAAGCAAAAGACTTGAGACCGAGGGGGTCATGATCTCTGCCTCTCTCCAGTATCAGTTTGTTCAGTAAGGCACAACCAATTTCCCCATCTCTAAAAGCCTAGTTACACTGTCAAACTCTCTGTTTCAGCTGCAATGACCTTCTCGGCCTCCCCACCCCTGTTGTCTTCTTTTGGCTGTATCCTAATCTCTGAATTTGGAAGGCCAAAGAGGAGAGCATGGCCAGGATTCCTGGCACCCAAACAGCTGCAAGAGAAACAAGGCGGGGTTGCAGACATTGAGCGGATTCTTGCTTTCTTTGAGGCCAGCCATTGGGCTGAGTGTTAATTTGCAGTGACAGTGCCTGGCCCACTTGCCCCTGCTTCTCCCCTCTTCCTTTGCACCTTCTCCACACTCAGGTCCATTAGGGCAGTGTTTCTCAACCTTGGCAACTTTAAGACATGTGGACTTCAACTCCCAGAATTCCCCAGCCAGCATGGCTGGCTG